TATCGATTGAGAACCCCTTTCGATAGAGGGAGTCTAGTTCAGAACGCCTTGATCAGTTGTTCTAGAGAAGGATACGTCCCTCTAGGCAATTGACTCAAGAGGACCTTGTTCCTTTAGTCGAGACTCAAGGTCTAGTCAAGGATTCTCCGCATTGTGAATGAAAGTGAAACAGGTTAGAGATCATCAATCATTAATCTGGCTAGTGGCTAGGGGGAATCATACCTAAGTGAGTTCCCAACCTGTAATTAGATTAACTTTAACTGTAGTTTGCTAGAGTAGTTTTAGTTCTTTCATCTTAATCTGATTTGCTAAATAATAAACTGAAGCTGAGTAATAGTAACTCCAGAGACCCGTGGATTCGATATTTATCACTTGAGCCACTATACTGCAGTCCCTTTCATTGGTTACACTTGGCCTTTGTTAGGTGTTGTGTTTTAGAGCAGTCAAAGTGGTTACACTTGGCCAATTTCTAGGGTGACAGTAGGAGTGAGTCAACGTGGTAGAAGATTAGTTGATTATTTTCGAAATACGCATTCATCCTTAGAAGAATATTCGTTGATCTTCTAATGAATATGCATTCATCTTTAGAAGAATATTCATTGACCTTCTAAAGAATATGCATTCATGTTTAGAAGAATATTCGTTGACCTTCTAACGAATATGAAATCATCTTTAAAAGAATACTAGTTGAACTTCTATTGAATGCACATTCATCTTTGTAGAATACTAGTTGACCTCTTATGAAATTGATAGCGATGTATATGCACATGTTTGCACCCTTAGTTCTTATCCGTTTGCAGCGAGTAGTCGTGTATTTTTGGCCCATTTAACACCGAGTTGTGCTACTTTGTCATATTTCAGGTCCCAGACGTCGAAGGAAAGGCTAAGCACGAGTTTCGCGGCATTTGGAAGTCATTCGGTCGAGCAGGGACCAAAGCACGGGCTGGCCTAAACCAAAACACGGTCGTGTACACAAACAAGCACGCTAGTGTTTTTATTGCCGAGAGCTGAACTGACGCAAAACACGACCGTGTCGATATTTAGGCACGACCGGGTTTTGGCCGACGCGGGCGTGATTTTAACACGAGGCAAAACACGGGCGGGCAAAACCAAAGCACGACCGTGCCCTCGACCGTGTTTTGCCCAGGGTCGGCCTTTTATGGAGATTTGAGGCAAAGGAGAAGGGGTTCCGAGTTTTAGAGAGACAGAGCAATACCTAGAGAGAGAAAGTGACAAAACTGAGTCTTCAAGTGTCTTTGATCGATCTCCATCACCACGGGAGCCCGACTTGAGCTTGGAGAAGATCCGATTGAGATCCAGAAGCAGATTATCATCCTTCAGAGTATGGTTTCCGCATCTGAGCTAGATTTTCCATCTCTCTCTATGGAGTAGTTTTCTTATTCATCTGGGTATGGAGAACCCTAGATTTGTATGTTAGGTCTGATTGTATGAACCCAAGTACAGATTCTATGATTTGATTATATTCAATTGAGGTTTGATTTATTGAATGTCATGAATCCTAATCAAATTCCTGTTGTTTCTGCTTTAACCTAGAAAGAGAATATCTGCCTAGGTTGATAGAGCACCCTTGATTGAAGGTAGTGAATTGGAGACTTTAGTCGAGGAGCCAATTCACTATTCTGTACCGAATTTACTTCGGTAGTGGAGGTTTGGTTCGTTAGGGCCTCAATCTGTTTACTCCGGTGGAGGTTAGTCGCCCGTTGGGGATTCAGATTGAGAGGGTCTGGAGACCTTTAGTTTAGTCGAGACTTCAGACTGCTTAAGAACCTCCCGCAGTATAACTATCATAAAACTGAACTTGGTAAATTACAATACGGCTTAACTGGAGTCTAGGGGGAACCATATCCGGGTGACCTCTCTCGACTTGAAAACAACCGTTTAATTGCTTGCTTGTTTGCTTGTTTGAACCTGCACTAAAGTTCCACCGCTAAATAATAAGAATTCGCTGAGTAGTAATCACATCTAGGACCCGGGTTGACATTAAAACCCAAACCCGCTATACTACGCTTTAGGAAGTGGTTACACTTGGCCATTTTCTAGAGTGAAAGTAGGAGTGAGTCAAGTTTTTGGCGCTGTTGCCAGGGACGGCTAGGTTGTTGAAGAAACGTGAATTTTGTTAATTTAGCTTTTCTTTTCGCATTGTTTGCTTTATCCCACTTGTGCCTTCACAGGTTTGCTGCTTGACTGTGTGCAGGTAGTGCATGACCCGTAGCAAGTCGGGAGGTTTACTGCCGTTGGATCCGGAGCTTGAACGCACCTGTCGCCAACTCAGGAGACAACAGCGAGCTTGACTGGCTACGGCGGAGCGCATAGACGACCACTTGAGCAGCGATTCTGAGGAAGAGTACGAGATGGAAGATATTGCATGACCCGTAGCAAGTCGGGAGGTTTACTGCCGTTGGATCCGGAGCTTGAACGCACCTGTCGCCAACTCAGGAGACAACAGCGAGCTTGACTGGCTACGGCGGAGCGCATAGACGACCACTTGAGCAGCGATTCTGAGGAAGAGTACGAGATGGAAGATATTGCATGACCCGTAGCAAGTCGGGAGGTTTACTGCCGTTGGATCCGGAGCTTGAACGCACCTGTCGCCAACTCAGGAGACAACAGCGAGCTTGACTGGCTACGGCGGAGCGCATAGACGACCACTTGAGCAGCGATTCTGAGGAAGAGTACGAGATGGAAGGAGATCACAATCCACACCCGGGAATCCTCACCAGGTTCCCCTAGTGAATCAGATCTTGGGGAACAACCCCATACCCCAGGCAGATGGGGGTCATCATCATCCACCGCCGCCGGGTCCCACCTTGGAGTACTACTACACTCCACAGATTGCTGATATCCGCCCTGTCATCCTCTACCCGCCCATTCCAGCGACCAACTTCGAGATCAAGCCATGTTGGATTCAACTCATTACATCCTCTATCCAGTTCGATGGCTTGAAGGATGAGGAGGCAATGGTGCATCTTTCTCGTTTTCTGCAGCTGACGAACGGGTTCAAGCTAAACGGTGTCCCTGATGACGCAATCCGCCTTCACCTCTTCCCCCATTCTCTGGCGGGGAATTCTAAGAGGTGGTTGGAGACCCAGCCCTCATTGTCCATCACTTCTTGGGACGATCTGGCCGACAAGTTCGTGAACAGGTACTATCCAGCATCGAAGACCACAAAGATCCAGCGGGAGATCACTCACTTCCGCCAAGAGCCAGATGAGTCACTTCATGATGCACGGAAGCGGTACATGGGATATTTCTGGAAGTGTCCTCATCATGGCTTCACTGATGCATTCACAGTGGGGAACTTCTACAGTGCTCTCTCTCCGGACAGCCAGAGGGTGATTGAGTCTCTATGCCTAGGAGGGGATATTCTTACTAAGACTCCACCCGAACTGAACTAGATGATCAGTACCTTGGCTGCCAGAGATCATTCCTGGGGGCAGAACACCAGAGGCAGGAATTCCCGAGATCGTGGTGTGCACGCCATGGAGGCCAGGTCCGGGCTTGAGCAGCAGGTGGCCGAGTTAGTGCAGACATTGAAGCAGCCCAACAGTCTTATTCCGGGCAGAGGTTTGGCTACACCTCCAGTAGCTCAATGTCAGTGGTGTGAGAGCTCAAATCATCTGGTGGAAGACTGCCAGGCTATGCGTGAGTCTTCTACTCCCCAAGAGCAGTTGGACTTCATCGCCAATGCTCGGCGCTTTGACCCCTACAACAATACATACAATGAGGGGTGGCGCCAGCATCCCAACTTCGCTTGGAAGAGCAACACCACTAAGCCACCTGGTTTCCCAGCACCAGCAGGTGGTTTTCAGCAGATGCAGCCTTTCCAGGCTAGACAGGGGCCAGCTCCTCAGCAGCAGCCTCAGCGTTAGTATGCCGAGCCAGCAGCAGCTCCGGCTCTAGATAATCAGATGACGGAGCTGAAAAACATTCTAGCGGCATTCATGACTACCAGCCAGGCGAATTTCACGAGGGTGGACCAGAACATAGCCTCACTGGAGGCAGGCCTGAGGAACCAGGGGGCCATTTTGCAAGATTTACAGAACCATGTTGGTGACATAGCTTGCCAAATGAATACCTGGGCCCCCGGAACTCTACCTGCCACTACCATCCCCAATCCACGGGAGCCGCACCATCAGCTGAATGCCATCACCACCAGGAGTGGCAAGTCCACATCGGCGGTACCTGCCCAGGCTAGGGAGGAAGAGCCACTGCCTACTTCAGCATTTCCAGCCGATGATGTAGAAGTGAGGGTGAAGAAGGAAGCCCCTACTCCCAAGCCACAACCAGTGGTTAAGGAGCATGTACCCCAGCTTCCCTTCCCCACTCGACTACATAAAGATAAGCTGGAGACTGAGTTTGCCAAGTTCATGGCAATGTTGAAGCATCTCAATGTCAGCATACCCTTCATGGAAGCACTGTCGAAGATGCCCAAGTATGCAAAGTTCATGAAGGATCTCCTCGGAAACAAGAAGAAACTTGGGGATCTTTTAACAGTGATGCTGAGCGAGGAGCGTTCTGCCATCTTGCAGACAAGCTGTCCGAAAAGCGCAAAGACCCAGGGAGTTTCGCTATCCCTCTTAATATTAGCAGCATGCATGTAGGGAAGTCTTTGGCGGACCTAGGCGCTAGCATAAATGTCATGCCATACAATCTGTTTAAAAAGCTAGACCTAGATGAACTTAGCCCTGCTAGGATGAGCATTCAGTTAGCTGATCGCTCTATTGTGCATCCTAGGGGGTATCATAGAGGATCTGCTTGTTAAAGTAGGCACATTCACCTATCCTGTTGATTTCGTTGTTCTGGATATAAATGAGGATGTGGATGTGCCTTTGATTCTGGGTAGACCATTTAGCAACATGAAATGTTATTTTGTAGTAATATTCATGGCCTTGTGAAGGCATATTACGTTTGTTGCAAACTTCTATTTAGCAACATGAAACATTATTTTGTAGTAATATTCAAGGCCTTGTGAAGGCATATTACGGTTGTTGCGAACTTATATTTAGAAACATTATTTTGTAGTAATATTTGGGGCCTTGTAGTACGTATCCAAATGCCTCAACAACGACACGATTCACCCATGTAGTACATTTCAAACTCAGCAAATGTAACCGACATACCTTGCACTTCGCAGTCTCCACAAATTCCACAGAACTGTAAAAATGACAAAGGATCTGTTAACACACTTTATGACCACTTACATGTTAATAATTAAATGAATATTGATTGGATAACATTTGAATACTTACTCGTTCTCTTTTGTCGTACTAAGTGCGAACTCAACTATCGAATTTTGCAAAGGGTCCAACTTGCTAGTAACAATGTTGGAGAGGACATAGTCGGATAATACTTCTGGCTTTCTCTTTGATCTCTCGAAGCGCGGAGTTTTTGTTGCCCTCCATTGTATGTGCGTAAGATCCCCCTCGCCGCCTTCAATAAGCACCTCCACCGTTAGTGCTGAAGAAGTAGTACTTGGAACACGATTTCTTCGCTGGTAAGTAACTGGAGCCTTACCTGGATCCTTTGACTCCGGATTGGGCGTCTCCTTGGCCATCGGAGTTGGCGTGACAGAGGGTGTCTCCATTGCCACCAGAGTGGGCGTCTCCTTGGTCACCAGAGTAGGCGTGATAGAGGGCGTCTCCACGACTACGGGAGTGGGCGACTCCACAGACACCGGAGTGGGCTCAACTACCTCACCCTTGGAAGACGGAGTGGGCTCCATAGATGACGAAGGAGGCTCAGCAAATGGAGAAGGAACCTTCTCCGTCGGATCCTCAATATCCTTCTCAGATGGCTTCTTTTTCTTCTCAGCCATTTTCTCAAGTATCTGGCCAATTTGTGTGGTCAACTTCATCCATCTTTCCGCCTCATCTCGACCCACACTACGTCAAACCTTTAGCTAAAAAAAAACAGAGCAGGTATATTTAGGACACTGATAACACACTTTATTCAAATCTCATCCAAATAGTATTCAAACAAGAATGCTAAACATTCGTCCATCATCCGAACAAAGCAATGGAAATAGTATTCAAAGTACATGGAAATAGTATTCAAATTATTCAAACTACCCAAATCTCAACATCTATTACATCCAATTTCATGAAAGCTAAACATTCCTCTCCACATTGGGGCTCCACATTTCCACTCTTGCAAGTCGTGCCTTGCACTTCTTGAACATGGACTCAGTCATGCACTTCAACACCTCAAGCTACAAGTATGTGTATTTTTTTTTGTTCATGCAATATACCTTAATCTAGTATGTTCGATAAAAATTTAAAACGTACATGATCTTCATCCATGCGCTCCAAGCCATCCTTTTCCCACCAAGAAGAGTTGTAAAACTCAGGAGCATCAGGAGCCTCTGTGCTGCTTTGGCCTTTATCTCCAACAGAACCATCATACCTCTGTTGAATTTTTGTTCTTGTCATCAACAAACCTGCTATCTCCCCACGCCCATGGTATGGATGGCTTCAACAACCTTCATTTGACAATCCTTGAACTGGTAGCTACAGATTGGGGTGATGGAGGTTCCAACACCTTTGACCTTCAAAATATCCAACAAATGAAGCTACCAAATAAGAGGAAGATGTTAGATTGGGGAGAAAAAAATGAATATAAATGGCGAGACAAGATTTAGGTAATATTCAAATAACCCAGACTCATATTCATAGAACACACACCGTATTGAATATTGTACAGAGTCATATTCATACAAGATTGAACTCATATTCAAATAACCCACACTTATATTTAAAGAACACACCGTATTTAACATTGTACAGAGTAATATTCAAACAATATTGAACTCATATTCAATAACCCAGACTCATATTCAAATAATATACACAATAATCAAGCACATTCAACGCATATTCAAACACATTCAAACTATTATTCAAACATGATAAAACTAATATTCAAAACAATCACACATTCAAAAACATAAATGAAAAAAGAACGAATACTTAAAACTTACAATGGGGAAGTGGACATCTCCATGGAACCAGTCAAGGAATGCCTTTCCTTGAACTGCAGTAAGACTACTCTTTAGTTCCGCTACAACAAGGTCAGACCAGTTGTAGGTTTTTATCTGCTCAATCTTCCCAACGAGGAACTCCACATAGTCAAGCTCACAATTCCGTGACCATGATGGTCGGAGCAGCGACGCAAGGGCAAGCAGCATGAACTGCTTGAACGCCTTACGAACAGGATGCCTAGCATTCTCATTCGTTAACTTCTCCACCATTTCACTTAGAGGAAAATTCCCATCCCAATCTCGGCTTGTAAAGCAGACAACTTACTTTTGTCCAGGCACTTCTCTGGCACTATTTTCCCCCCAACGTGAGGAAGGCCATAAACAAGAGCCACGTCCTCGTCCTCGTCCTCTAAGGTCAACACCTTCTTATTCTCTCCCACTCCAAAAATGAAACTGCCCGAAATAGTATCGTAGTGTCGTGCCATTGCACACAGCAGAAACTTATCTATGTCGCGCAATCGTATCTCCAACAATCCATCGAAGCCCGCCTTCTTAAGCTCCTTCTCGCATTCCTCATAGTAGGCCTCATCCTTCTTTCAGAATTCAATAACACTCAACAATGATGATGTGTGACATCGATGCTGCGTTTCATGTGGTTTCTTGCCCTTGCCTTTCCCCCACCTTTCCCAACAGACTTTCCCCCAGCTTTTCCAGCAGACTTCCCCCTGCATTCCCAGCAGATTCCCCACAGCTTTCCCAGAAGATTTCCCCCCAGCATTCCCTATAGATTTCCCCGCAGCTTTCCCAGCAGACTTCCCCCCAGAATTCCTAGCAAAAGTCTCACCAGAATTCCCATCAGCAAACTTAACTCTTTTTGAAACAACTTGATCTTCCGAACCAGGAGGAACACCTTCAGCAATAGGAGGATCTACTAAGAGTCATTTCATGTCTTTAGGAACACGCTTCTTGATTCGCACCATTATTCCAAACCTGTAGACCAAAAAAACATATATATTCAGAAAAGGGGGGACAAACAAAACACAATGAAGAGAACTAATATTCAGAACTGAAACATGCAGTGTTGATCTACCTGTAGACAACCAATTTCAATGAATACACAACTAATATTAAAAACCCGAAGAACTAGTAATCGTCAACAACACAGTCAACATTACACAGCTAATATTCAAAACCAGGAAACACTAGTATTTGCCACTACATAGTCAACATTAAACAAGTCATTCAACATGTATTCGTCAACTACACAGTCAACTACACTACAAGATGAACACACAACTAATATTTAAAACCAAAATAACCAGTATTCAATAGGTTGAAAGTTAACAGGGAACATGGAACACAAGAATCAACTACAATGGAGGATTCCGGTAACAACTACTTTTGGATTCAACCACATTTACTGATTCTAAGCAAGAACCCAAAACCTTAGTCAGCAAAAATATTGACATATCTCGCCCACACAAGACACATTATGAAGAAGATCCTTAAAATAGAGTCGATTTTGAAGGTGTACCAAAAAAACCCTAAACGCATATTCAGTAAACCCTAAACACCCCAGAATGCAGCAAAAAGGGGGATTCAAGGGAAAAACCCACGCCTAGAAATCAAAGGACGAAGGGTGAATCGTCCTCAAAGGTATTAATACGTGAGAAAGGCCGACCAAAATACACATAACTAGAGGAAGGAAGATTCTTCCTCGTCGAAGCTCTCTTGGTTATCGGCTGTGCTGCTCGTTGCATAACTCCTTCGTCGTTCTCGCTTTCCTTGTTCCGACGTGTGCTCGCGATCTCCTTCTTTCTCGTCGACGAGGGAGATCTTTATTTTTAGGTGGGGTGGTTTCTGGGTCGACGAGAGAAAAAGAAAGAAAGAAAAATGGAGAAAGAAGAAGAATAGAGAAAGAAGGAAGAAGAGTGGAGGAGACGGTTGGAGTGGACAGTTTTAGTTTAGGTTTTTTTTTTTTCAATTTCAAAAACCTCTCACATGGACACCCCACCCCTTTTCCCTCCCATCGGCACTCGGCTCGGCTCAGCCGGCTACCCTTTCCTCTCTTATGCCCAGCTCGATTATTCCTGGCCAATCATTTTTGGCTTGGATGATGTGGCCCAATGACTGGCCTGTGAGTTGGTGCACACAAAAACCGATGTGTGTACCATAGCGAAATTGGGTGTTAGGATTAAAATTCGAATTATAATTGATTTTCTCATTTATCCACTCAAATTCACCCGATTCTACATATCATATACAATATTTTATATAAATTGCAATTTTTATTTTAACATATTTGATATTATTTCTAGTATACTTGTACCATCTCATAAACCAATGTTCCTTTTTTATTTTTCTCTTAGTATTCATGATTTGTTATTTACAGTTTTTCATATCTATAATGTTAATATCCATGAACACACTAGTTGAAAAGATAAAGAAAAATCAATTTCCATGAATAGCCCAAACTTGATCGATTATGAGCATGATTTTAATTTATTACCTGAATATTGCATGTATATGGGCATGGATAAAACTCGGTAGAATATTGAATAGTCACTATCTACACCCCGACCCGTTGCCATCCCTAACCGAAGTGCAGTTGCGGATGTTTGTCCAAGAAAAACTGGATCCTAAAATAGCACCTCTGTAAAGTAAGGTTGTAAATGCAAATCTACAAATTAGTTAAATGTGCAGGCCTCTAACATCATTTACAATAAAGTCCAAAAAACCAAAAATTTCAAATATCTACCACACTGCCAAATAGTAAAATTGGAGCATTAGAGTGCCAAATTTGACTTACATGCAAATATATAAGGTCAGACTTGCTCAACCCCAACTCAACTCACATTGCGACGGGCCGAAAGGGGGAAGCACGTCAAACGCAAGGCGAAACCAACCCTTGTCACACGTGTTTCACATTGCCATCCCTTGTCACTAACGCAAGATTTTTACCGTTGTATATAAAAAAATTAGTTTATGTTTCCAAGTTCTTCCCAATGGCTCTTTCTGCCTCCAACAACTCTTTTTTGAATTTTCTATATAAATACCCGCATTTCTTCACTTCTATTTTCCCACTTTCAATTTTTTCTCTCCTTATCACAAAAAAAAAAACGTCTTCTTCCAATAAATAAACAACTTCTCTTTCTCTTTAGAGATACGAGCAATGTTATCAAATTGAACTAGAGTATGAATCAAAGTATCAAGCGATTCAATGTTTATTGGTTTAATTAGTATTCAACCGTTTAAAAACCGCTAACAAACCGGTATCTCATAAACAAAAATACTATAAGTAGAACACATAATAACACATTATACCATAACTTTTAAATATAATATACTGCTCTTAAACTCACATGAATACTAAAGTTTTAAAGTCCAAACTATAAACATGAATTCTTGTATATTTTTACCAAATGATTATATAAATATTTATGATAATAATTAGAAATCCATTGCTTTATGAATATCAAAATTATTTAATAATACAAGTTATATTACGAAAACAGAAGCTATACAATGACAAATTAAAACTAGGAAGATCCATAATTTGTATTACCAAATTCAACAAATATGATAATGAAGGCAAATTAAATTGTTTCCATATAATTATCGACAACCGAGTGATGAGGAGATGCAATGCTTATTCACCAGATAGAGGGTCCAAAATTTGGTCTTTTGACATATGGGTCGATTGTTGGTCTGTTCGAGCTGAACGGTTATTTAGGCCCAATTGGTGCCCGGTCACGGGTTCAATCAGCTGGAATGATCGATTGGTCCAGTCTTCACAATAGTGGATACAAGTCAATGAGTGGCAAAAATTTTGAGAGAGAAAAAGCTCACACCCTCTCTTGTTCTCCTTCCTCGATCCTCATGATTATTGTTAGCTTGAAACCTCCGGTAGAGAAGGCTGCCATTGCCTTGAAGTTGCTGGACAATTTACTAACTTCGTCACCTGCCCAACCCAACAAGAAATCCAAGTGTTTAATGAGCGAGAGATTCTTAGGCCAAGGAGAAATGAAAATATCGGTGGTCACTATCAGAGAGCAGGAAATTGTAGATCCCACGACGACATAAATATTGCCAAGAAAGGAAGATGAGATGGCTTCTCCTACGAACATGAGCCCCCCATATCAAGTACAAGGATGGAGTCCTCGGGAACACCCCACACCACCGATCACTGGTAGCAATGGGATTATGTGTAATGAGTTTAAAGGGAAGATGTTAAAGACAATCCAAATTTCCCAACAATACGCTTTAAGAAGAGTAAAAATGTTAGAATCCGTGGAAAATGACACAAGCAATTACATTTTAGGGCTCTTTGGATTCAATTCTCATTTCCTTTTCTTCATGAATGGATCTTGATCGTGTCTGGTATTGAGAACCTTGGATGGTGGATGACCACTACATTGTCTCTGAACCGCGGTGTCTGGATGTTGACCCTAATGTTGATACCATTGACAAGACCTCAATGTGGTAAGTTTGCGGAAAAAAAAAATCACTTGCTTATTTTTTATGAAGAGACCTTGTATGAGATGGCGACAAACTGGGATTCTGGGAATAGTGTAGAAGAAAGATTAGGATACAAAAAATTGATTCAGCAAGATCAACGCCATGAATTTTGTTGATATTGGCCTACGAAAAAGGCTAATATCAAAGTACATATTGAAAAAAGGGTTCACAAGGTTGAATATGAAGAAATTCACATTGTTTGTTTTGAGAGTGGACTACGACCATAGGGAATAGGCATGCCGGATCCCTAAGAAACTAAGAAGCCTATCTCCAAAGGAGAAACTTAAAGGGACAGAGAAGCCAAGCACTAGCCAAGCGATTCAAGCCTGAAATAACCAAGGATTTTTTACCAAGGCCTTTCTTCATGCTGAACACCACTTTCCTAACTTCTTCCCTCGAAACTGGGTGCACAGGTCATTTACATCATCTGGTAGACGGTCGATAAGAAGCTTTTGCAACACCTCAACTTATACTTCTATTATAGAACGATCAATGGTTTCTAATAAACCCTTGTAGAAAGTTTCAACCTCTTTACCCATATCATCAATGTCTTCCAACACTTGTCCATCTTCACTTACCAATTGAGTTATTTGATTCCTACCATGCCTGGTTTTAACCATAGTATGAAAAAACTTGGAGTTTGAGTCTCCACAGTTCACCCATAGCTGCCTGGATTTTTGACGAGCAAACATCTCTTCTTCTTTTTTTAACTCTTGAAGCTGGATCATACACCTTCTTTCAGCTTGAACCAAGGCTGGACCAAGGCTTCAATTTGAGCTACAACCAACTCTTGAAGCTGGACCAAGGCTTCAATTTGAGCTACAACCAACTCTGCTTGGGGAATACTAACCCTCTCATGGTCTCTAATTAGTGTTCCTTATTTAGTTTTCTTAGCTTTGGCTTGACTTGTTTAAGCTTCTGACATAACCTAGACATAGCTGAACTACCTCCAGACTCCTAACAATCTTTTCTAACTAATTTGGAAAGGTGCAGCTTTCATAAACTGAAGTACTTAAAAGGGTGAGGCAGAGTCTTCTTTTTAACATCAGTGTGGAGTAGAAGACCACAGTGATGAGACGGACCAGGAGGAAAAATCCTCAATGAGCTGCGAGGCAAGGCATTTAACCAGCTTTTACTAACCAAACCTCTATCCAACCTTTTGGCAATTGAATTCCCCTGTTGCTTATTAAGCCATGTAAACCAAGGGCCAATTATGCTATGATTCGTAAGTTGCATATCTTGAATCCACTAGCTAAAATCTCATGCACTATCTGTAGTAGAAGTCTCATTCAAGTTAACCACTGCATTAAAGTCCCCTACTGCAAGCCAAGGAATAGTAGAATTCACTTTGTTTTGTAGTTCTTGATAAACTGATCTTCTCTGGATTGAATCATTTGAATTGTATACAAAAGAAAGCTGCAACAACTCCTTCCCCTGGACTATACCATGTACATAGTACCCTAACTTTTCCAGCACTGTAAATTGTATTTCCTTCCTCCATAACACCCATATTCTCCCCACATGAACTGCTGAATAGATCATGTGCTGAATAGGTATCTACAAAATTCCAATATGAAAAATTATCTTGTATTATGCTCTCCACATTTTCTCTGCTAACTCTAGTTTCTAAGATAGAAACAATGTCAACCTTAAATCTTCTTTCCACATCTACTATGTATTCCTGCTTCAGCAAGCTGTTGAAGCCTCACATGTTCCAGGTTAAGACTATCATGGCTTTGCTTGCCTTTTATCCTTTGAAGGGTGACCTAGCTTGTTCTTACCCTTCTTTTTTTTGACCTTCTAGTGTACAACATAATGCAGGAAACTGGGAGGCATCCTTCAATGGTGAGACAACAACAGAACCAACCTCAAATTGTTCTAGTGAGCTAAGAGCAGCAAAAGAGTTCCTAGTCTTCCAAGGACTCGCAACCTTCTCAACAACACTTTGAAACTCTCTATCAGATGGTAAATGCCCCCACTCGGATGAATTCCCCTCAGTAATTGAAGTAAATAGGTTTGAAACAACCTGTTGAAGACCTACTTCCGCTAGAGCGGTGACAAGCTCTTTAGTAACAGAGTATTATGGAATAACCTCATAATTATCTTCAGCTGCCCCCTGTAACTCCCCTCCCTCGATAGGCAGTGCCTCAACCTCCACCTGGTTCACCACTTCAACTTCGTCTTCCTTACATTCATGCCCAAACTCATTGCACTTCTCACATATAATAGGTTTATGACAATACTCTAGATTCATAAACATGGGTGGCCTCTTATATGGCACCAGCTTTAGGGAGGTCCGCCCATGAACGCGAAACTACCATTCTCTACCCTCAAGAAAGGATGAAAGGAAAGGAAAGAAGAAGAAATAGCAGCGAAGAGTGCCCACTGTCAAAATTCAATGAGAATCCCTAGTTGGTTCGAAGTCGCGAACTGGGATAAAACACACTCTCAAGCTCTCTCTCTCTCTCTCTCTCTCTCTCTCTCTCTCTCTCCAACTTTTGAAGCTCCAATGTCAAACATCAGAAATTGCCACGTCCTAGGGTTTATTTTGAAGAGCTGTGCATGGCATTTCTTGTGGATGGTTATCCTGTTGAGGATATGTGCTAAATGTGAGTCTATAATTGATGATATCAAAACCATCAGCATCGAGACTTACCATTCCAAGATGAGGACATGGTACTACTCCATACTCACTTGTTCTTCATCCTAAGCATTGTGTCGTTGGATGGCATGCACTATAGTTAGATGAGTTGTTCACTGGTATGCAATTATGGGAAATTTAGAGATATATGATGCACAAAGTGGCGAGAGGCGCATAGTGGTGATTAAACTTCCCGGTTCAAATGATTATGAGGAGCGTGCTCTAGTGGACTCTTATGATGGGCTTGTGCAATATGGATGGAGCAATGAGTCGGGCATGGAGATATGGGGTCTCAAGAGTAGTGACCAAGGCGTTTCTTCGAGCAAGTGGGACCTGAGATACAGGTTGAAATTCAAGACGATGCGGAGGAGGAACTTAAGAATGATGGCAGCAGGAAGTTGCAGGTTCGATAAAGAAACTCAGATAGTATCCTTCTACGCAAAGGACTTCGATTTTGTTTATATTAGGTCTAGTTTCGAGATATTTGTCTATCATCGTGGAACTGAACAGTAGAGCCTATTTCTGATCATGGACGTGGGTCTTCCATAATGTGGGATTTCAACAAAGTGGTTCCTTACTTTAGACCTTGATGGCCTCATTCTTCTGTGCGCGGTGCAATATAATTTGGTTTTTCTTTTCTTTCTCCTCAACCACCTACCATGTAGATCCTCTATGATATATGTAGTATTTTCCATGGAACGCATGTCTCTGACCATTTTGGATAAGTCAACTTCTTGGTTGTTAGTTGGTGTCTGTGAGGCCCTTCAATTCTCTATTTCATCTTATGCATGTTGGTTCTCTCTGGTGTAGAGGCCAGTTATATATACTGTTTTGAAAGGTCTCTTAACACTTGATCTTCGGTTGAACCTCTTTTGTGTTACGATTTTGGGTTAATGTCTGAACGGTTTCTGATAACATGGAGATGACGATTGACCAATGGGTTTGTGAAAATAGGTTTTTCGGTTTATAGCCGACATTTAATATATTTTGCAGGGATCATTTAACAGTCAACGAAAGTATTATAAATGTACAATGTAGGTACTACTTTTTACTGTGATAGAGGTGAACTAATTTGTTAATAGGAAAAATTGGGTAATGTATGCAAAATTTTCATTATACCGATTGAATTGGTCAAATAAAAAGACAATTTAATTTTTGACCATGGAGTTAATATATGTAGAGTTTAGCTATAACAATATAATATCTAATTTGTTACTACATCTTATTATGACAGGCCAACTGATTTGTTAATAGCAAAAATTGGGTAGTGTAAGCAAAATTTTGTTATACCGATTGAATTGACAAAATTAACGATGAAATTTTATTTCTAGACTAGGCTGTTAATAACTGAAAAATTTTAGGTTTTAAAATTTATAATATAATAGATGAAATGTTTAACTGTTGAACTATTCATTTCATGGGAATCAATGCAGTCAAAGTCGAGATTTTACCTAAAATCGAAAACTGGGGTGAAATCAGAATCGTAAAATCGAATCGAAAAATCGTAGAATTTTAAGTAATATATAAAAACTAACATATAATAATAATATTAATAAGGTTAATTATCAATAACACAAAGACACATAACATTTAAAATGGTAATTTCCAAGATTAATGTTCTAAAATCTTCATTTTAATTTTTAATTCATGAAAAAGGGATAGAACTCAAGTGGTTTGGCTCTTGTTTTTCATGTTGTGTCTAGGTAATTTAATCAAAAGTAGTATTCCGATATTGTCTATTATGCATGATTTAAAATTAAAAATAGGTGAACGCCAATTAAATAATTAATGTCACTAGCTTGGTTAAAATATATTCATTAATCAATTGATTAGGTAATAATAATATTAATTTTTACGTACTGACAATATTAAGACATCTATTTTACTAATGAGTTAAACAGGGCAAAAGGAAAGGGATTGACCGAGTCTTAATTTGTTTTTTTTTTCTTTTCTAATGTTTTTAATAGGATAAATATCTTAGAAGACCCCATCATTGCCCTTTCCGCCAAAGCAGCTCTGCGTCTTTTAAATTGGCTCAAACCGCCTATTTTGTTCTCATGAGATTTTTCATCCCGATTTTGGTACGATTTTAACAATTATCCTGATTTTTAGTTTCCATTGATTTTATACTAAAATAAAGATCGGAATCTCTAAGTAAAATCCTAAAGTCCTATGATTTTAATCAAAATATTGAATTTGACTGCACTGATGGGAATGAATCTTAATAGCAACATTATCTGAAATCTAATCCCACAACTTATTAACCGCTTTTTTTATGAATCAGACTCTTTCCACTTCATCAAAAGAAAAGGTTTGCTGGAAACATCCTTTCCAGCTAGCAACCAATCAAAATTGAACAATACATCAAAACCAATCTACTAACCTATAGTCTGTTTATACACCTTGGGAAGCAAACATTTTGAATCAAGAATTTGCATCCTCAGGAATCCATAATTTGACAGCATCTTCTTCCTGCATCACAAAAACTTCACTTCTAATTACCTTTCTCAAGCCTTCCACACCATTAACCGCTTTATTGCATGGCTTGTAAATGAGTTTTTTTTTGAAAGATTGGTTGGTTGTTCCATTAAAAGCGAAACACGGTGTACAGATTCTTACAACACTGAAAGAAAGACAAAGACCAACTGAAACAGGATTAAAACCTAAAAGTGATCCAACAAGGCCTAAGGCCTGCAAAGCCCAAATCCCATCCAAACATGTGGATTAGCCCACTCCAAGCAAACCCTAAATCAGCCGGCTGAAACACCAAGAGGGATGGCCGCCGAAAGCATCCCTACCACCTAGAAGCACGTAGTCTTCAACCTTCATGTCTTTGTTAGACTTCAGGGACCAAAGGAGAGGGAGTCAAGAGTTCCTAACACCATCGACACACCAGATCAATGACTTGCAGGCAAAAGGGGAAAAGCAGAAAACTCAAGGGGAGAACCAATCCCATGGAAAGCTATGAGATCCACCTAGGCTAAACAAGAAATTCAAAGAGCAATCTTGGGAGAAGGACAGAGCAAAGGAGGACAAACCACCATCAATCTGAGCAATCGGATAGGCCCATCCTCAAGAGTGTCATCCTGCTCACAAGCCCCCTGAATCATCATCCAAGACAGCCAGGGTCCTTGCATCTCTGAATCATCCCATTTATGGATGAAGCATAAGAGGTAGATGGATGACCAGAGAGGAGCAAGCGAACCGACAAAATCGACCCCCTCAAACACCTACTAGAGAGAAATCCACTTAGATCTGGCATCTAGTGGGAAGCAAAAGCATCTCCTCAGGGAGATCGAAAGATCATTATAAAAAAGATGGGAGAAGAGCCGATCGAGAAAGGAAAGAGAAACAAAAACAAAAGCAACACCTGAGGCGTGAACGGAACAGGAAAGTAACATGAACAAACAGAAAAAGGAAGAGCAGAATAAAGCAACCGCTAAGCAGAGGAGATGATCTCAAAATGAAGGGTTTAGGGCTACCTCCTGTCCAAAAATGGAAGCCGAGGGCAGCTCCATTGCCAACAAGGGATTAAAAAACAAGTGATAAGTGGGAGGAGGGGAAAGGTAGAGAGAAGGGAAAGTTTCCTAATAGTAATTTAAGCAACACTGCTTGCTTGAAAATGAGTTGACATAAGGGATTGTTGTTTTTTTTCCTTTTCCATATATTAACCCTTATACAATGGACCAAAATAGTTTGTTTACTTTCAACTACAAAATGGTGCAATGACATCCCTATCTCTAGCATTGAGCTAAATCTATCAAAAAGATGTACGAACTATCTAATGTAGAATATGAAGGCGAAAAATATGCGATTTGGATGACAACTTTGTTGTCTGAATTTACATCTATTCTGCAAAAATAATTAGTACTCTTAATCAGCACGGGGCAACAAGAAGCTGAATCCTGAATTCTCGCGAATGAGAGGTGGTGGTTCGATGTCGGAAATGTCAATTTGCTCCATTGATTTAGACAAGTCATCCACCGAAAATGGAATGCTGCAAACATGATTATACAAAAATTTGCAGATAAGGGGAGGTTTTAGATGGATGACAAAACTCATATAGTAATGAACCCAACATATGAAAGCATGCAAATTTCCAGCATGTCCACTGACCTTGAATCATCATCTAACAAGAAAGAGTTACTAACGGCATTATTTGAATCTTCTGTCATCAATACCCTCATATTCGATATAACCTATATGATCGAGAAATGAAAAAAAGTTGCAGATTGAATTCTCTTAGCTTGAAACAACACTAAGAGACAATTTTTTAGCAAAGACTTACATCTGATGATACACTGTGGGTGCCATACTTGTCATCCCAGTACATTGTACTGATCCGATATAATTGTTGAATGCTGAGTACCTGTTAAGATAATTTTAAGTTGGTTACGACATATTATGAAAGACAAACACACGCTTGTTATAGCAAATGTCAAGAGAAACTACTCACAGGGCATAAGTCATGACTAATCTCATCCAATGTTTTCTTAGGCTTTTGATGAATGACCTACAATAGGAGCAAACAATGACATTTTGTGTGTGTGTTCTTCGACTTTGGGAATGAATCGAAGAGCATATTGAAATTCTAACAAATATGACAAAGGTATTACCAGAAATCCAATTGCCTGTCTAATATGTTTTAGCTCATCCCATGCAGAACCTGCATACTATATTCATAAACATATTTTTTGTTAAGCAAATAATTAGAATTTATGCTATCATTTGAGGTTTCAGTGCAAACATGGAAATAAGGTTAACCCTACCTCATCTGTTGCCTTGTAGCACCAATGTTCCAATTCAGCTAATCCAGCTTTTACATACTCTCCATTGCTGAAGGAGCAACATTCTCGTCGTAACAAAAGACTGTAAAAGTTTCAAGACAACCATAAATGAGAGTCCCTACCGAAATGAGATATAAGGTTGATATAAAATGTGAAATGGATAATGGATCTATATACCTGTTAAAAAGTTGGACATTGATGAATGAAAATATTTGTGTGAACACCTTGCGAACCAAGAATGGGGGTACCTAGAAAACAATCAAGGCCAAGAAGCAACGCTCAAATGATTGTAAGCAATCATTATTTAAAATAATAGGTTGGTAGATGATTCACTTACATGATTTGTTTTCAAGGTGTTTAAGAAGTTTCCAAGGCTCTTGACTATCCCTTGCCAATGTGCAATTAAGGCTTGTTGTGCTGCAGTATTAGCCACTGAACGCGCACCCTTGACCAAGCTTGCTCTCGATGTTCGTGGTGCCTATTCACACCATAGCAAGAAAATATTCTAACAAAATAATTTTTAAGCAGTTGGAAACTAAAACGTAAGTAAAATAACTTTACATATACCTGGATGCATAATCCAAGCAATGGAGAAATCTCTTTCTTCAGATTGTCTCTTATCATTCCATATATTTTTTCTACATATGCTGTTAGTTGTTGTTTGAATAGCAGTGCTGGGTACTTGGCCTCAACTTGCCGCAAAGTATCCACTCCACCACTTATAGTTCCATTGATTAGGGAAAGATTGACTCCTTGTGGAGCACCACGGAAACTCTAAAAGAAATTATCATAATTAAATAAATATCATATATCAAGTGATGGAATATATAAATATCTACCAATACATATGAACTTTCTAAAATGGGTTAGGTGTAATTTACTACCTGCGTCATTCTTCCAAACAAAGTGGCAGATGAAGACCTACGACGTTGTGGAGCCATTCCTGCTGCACCACTTGCTTTTAGAGTTCGTTGGAGTAACAAGAGTAGTGTTGAGGCATTTGACAACCAGTAGGCCAAAACATCATTGTTATCTTGAATCTGGATATCCAAAAAGTTGGAAAATAAGCAACTTGAAAAAATTGGCTCCCATCAATATCTTATAAATAAAATATCATAAACTCAACTTTTTGTAAAACCCTGACCAAACACACTTCCTGTAAATAAACACAACACTAAGACATGGTTTTATAATATTTTTTCACATAAGAGTATACTAATTAAAGTAAGTTTTATTTCCTGGTGTCACAGACCTCAATAGCGTGGCCAATTGTCTGAATGATGCGGTCAAAAACACTTGTTCTCTCAACTTCGAAGGATCTCCACTGCAACAGGCATTTATATATGATACATGCAGCAATAGGTCTTTTTCCTTGAAATCCTAGGTGCTGCGTTGTACATCGAATGAGCAATTCTTGGTTTTCTTGTTGCTTTTCATTCAATGACTTTTGAGGTTTATCATCCACTTCATCCCTTTGGTTTATTGAAGGACTATGTAGATCCTGCATTTTTTAACACGAGAAATCAAATAATAAAAATCAGGCTTCAATTACGATAAAAGGAAAAACATACGTTGCTTGGATTCGTGAATGTTTGTGTACTTACCAAACCTGTCTTTGCCTCCGGTGGAATATGACTCTCGGTTCTCTGCCAAGAAACATAGAGCATACAAGCTCTTAGAAGTAGTTCTTATTAACAAAAAAAAAGGGAGTGGGCAAAGAAAAAAGGAAGGAAAACAAATCAATGCACAAATAAGTACCTGCATGATTGACCTCGAGCGTCCGGAAAGGAACTTATTGGGGGCCATGGATACAGCTTGTTGTCGAAGAACTTGATTTTCAGATTCTAAGTTGGTAAGCTTCTCTTCTAGCCTAAACATCAGAAAGACAATAGTCAGCAGAGTGGTCACAACTTATTCAACACAATATAGGAAGAAGGTAAAAAGGTGAAACCATACGATTTCATGGAATCTTGGAGTTGTTGAACCTTTTTCTGTGTTTCTTCCAACTTTTTCCGTCTTTCTTCACTTGCCTCTTGAACTTCACTAAAATTTTTCTCAGCTTCATCAGCTCTTTGCTTTTCTATGTCCAAGGAGGCCTGCCATATTGAATATGTCAAATGTAAGATTTTCCTACAAACCAATCTACTATATTTTACTGATTCTATTGTACTACCACATGTTCTATACTTACCTTAAGGTTATCTACTTCAGCATTAAGAGAATCAATTTTCTCTGTATCTTGAACAATTACTTGGGTTTCCTTCACTACAGGAGGTGCTTCTTCAATAGCCTGCTTTGCAACTTCCTTTTCCTTTGCTATGGCAGCATTAGCCTCTTCTAATTTCTTTTGGAGTTCTTCAAGTGAAGACTGAAACTTTGCTGTCTCTTGTACTTTTGCTTCTTCTAAGTCAGTCTGAATATATGATTAGCCATTTTCATTGCGGATGTAATTATAAAATTTTCAAAGTGCCAAAGTTGTGTTAGATAAGAAATTGAAGTGAAAAAAAAATACCCTCATGCGCTTCTCCAATTGTAATCTCCATGTGAGTTCTTCTACTTGTTTTTCAAGCTTGTTTTTGGCTTCTTTTAGTGCACCTGTTTCCCTTGCTTCCTGCACAAGAATGTATTTAACAGTTATATCAAATAGTGCAATTTAAAGTAGAAGTAGCAAGATTGTTATGTAACCAACAGAAAAAATGTGACAAACAAACCATTTTGAGCTTCCTAAGTTCCTTCCTTGCAACTCTTCCTCTCCATCTGGTTTGAGACACAATTGCTCCTCTCTTGAGCCGCTTATAGTAAGAAGCAGCTCTATGACAACGCCACCTAGCTTGCATAAAAATGACAGCCTTAGTTTGCCTCCTAAATCTAAATTGCTTACAGGCTGCCATTGTTCTTAATCCTGTTTGCACCACAAGCGCCGAGGTATGAAGTCTTTTGTAAGATTTTCGAGCTTCATATCGGCGTGCATTCTTTTGAATGTTTACTGCAGCTGCCTCCCTTTTCATCTCGTGGAAAATTTTGGAGGCCAATCTTCCTATACATAGATCAATTTTTACAATTCAGTGTGATAAGAGAAGCCAAACCAAGAAGAGTTAAAGTTAGGGGGAAAATTCACTATAAAATGAATCACCTCTACACAATGCCTGAATGGATATCACTGCCTTTCTCAATGCAATAAAACGTTTGCGAGTGACATGAGTTAGCACACGTCTTTGAATAATTTTGGCTGCATTGTTGAGCACCTCAGCTCTCCTGGCATCCAACTCAGCCATCTGGCCAGCTCTCAGGAACACCTTTGTTTTACCTATCTATAATCGCCATCTCATAGTTAGAGTCAAGTGTGAGCTTTTCTTCATAAGGGATTCTCAATCTATATAGATATGATAAATTAAAATTCTTAGTATTACCTGAAACCCTTTAAGGCCCTTCTTTTCCATGATTCTTTGGCAAGCAACCTTTTCATCATAGCTGCACATGAAGATGGGTTGTAGTGAAATGAAATTACATTGTTGTCTCAAGCATCACACACACAAGTTCATGATTGAATTCAAGCAAGGATTTAAATCCTAAGAGGGGAAAGCTATCGATTTGATGTCATAAGAGATTATACTTACTTCCCTTCTAAAGCTTCAGGAGCAAGAAGACCAAATCGATTTATAAATTCAAAGAAAGCACGCCGAGTAGGGTATCCAGCACAACTGATTCGGATAGCTTCCAGAACACCCTAGAAGAACAAACCAGCAACTGTAGATTTTAGAATCTTTAAAATTGGAAGTTAATAGAAACATGACAAGCCTTTATACTGAATGTGCAGAATGTTTGAGAAAAATAAAATCAGACATATGTCTAAGAGAAAACTAAAAAGTTGCACTTACACCACAACGAAGCTGTTGCATGATGTTGACATTCTCGAATATGGCTGGTTTCAGTAGGTTGTTTGGTTTAACGCATCTAATGTAGTGTGGTTCAGTGGAGTTCAATGTTTCCATCAGGGACTGCAGTTGGAGCTGCATAATCATTTAGTTACATACAAGTTAGTTTTTAGTTTTTACTATAGAGATGCTAAATATAGATAAAATCATGGAACTAAGTTAAAATTGAACTAAAGATATCTACCTTAAAACGCGAACCAATTGAGGAGAACTTTGAAGATTTACTCGTCTCTTCGGGAGGTGGTGGGAAAAGTCCGGCCACAAATTGACATTTGGAAGCACCTAGCAATTCTTGATGTTCAGCAACCACATAATCCTTGTTTTTGTCCAAGAATTGATCAGATTGATATTGGACCTGGTAGAATGAGACGAGTGAAAAACAATAATAGCAACCAGGGATAATCTCCCACTGTAAAATTATTTTTGAAGTTAATGATACTGTTGAATGAAACTTACCTCTCCAGCATAATGAGAGATAGTGAAATCCGTGCGAGATAATTTTGGCTTGATAAAGCGCTTATGATTTTTGAATGTCTGGTAGAGCTTGTTTGAAAAGGTTTCATGTGTTGACTTTGGAAACATACTGTAAAAATTTATCCCAAAACATGAGAAATCGGCATGTGATCAGAAACTATCTATGATTTGAATTAACGGAGATATGAAGAACACCATACCAAGCTTCATCTAAAAGAGCAATTATTCCTCCAGGTTTCTGCAGGTCCCGACATTGGGTAAAAATGTAAGTAAAACGGAAAACTTGGGCGGAAATGAGCTCAGACTAGTTCAAAGTAAATGGACAAAGCACACATTAGCTCTCTATGAAAATAACTTAATAATAAATGGTTGTACCTTTTCAATAAGATCTAGGACATCTTGATTGTCAACAAACTCAATGTAGCTCCAATTGATCTGCTCTTTTGTATATTCTTCTTGCTCCATTTTAAAAACGTGCTGAAATGCATCCTCTACCTTTTAATATAAATTTCTAATTGAAATGTTTAAGTCATTGATTAAAAAACAAAAATAGGATATTACCTGATTGAAATGTTGTTGCAGCTTTTCATTTGTGAAGTTGATACAAAACTGTTCAAAACTGCATGCCATATACTTATTAAGAATAAAACCTCCATATGCTTGTATTATATAGGATTGATAAACAAAGTAATGACAAAAATATGTTACCTATTAGTCTTAAAGCTTTCAAAGCCATATATATCTAGTACACCAATTAGACATTTTGAAGTAGGATCTTGTCCTATGGAATTGTTAATTTTGTCCACCAGCCTGTATAGATTCATACAAAGATGTAACATTACAACATTATCTTGAAAATACATTGGGAGTTAGTATGTGAAAATATGCTTGACAAAGAATCATGTATTTTACCAGTCAAACAAACGAGAATAGATAGTCTTAGCCAAACCATCTCTACTGATTGCTGCACTTTGAGGGTCAAGACTTCTTTTAATGACCTCCTCAGGAGTAATCATAACACGTTTGCACAATGCATCTTCTAAAGCTACTGCATCACACCTGGAAATTGGCAAAAATTCAAATGGTTTAGTTTAACACCAAAAGCTAGTTACATCTTATCTCATCTATGAAGTGATACAAAGAAGAAAACTCATACATAAGTAACTCGGCTGTCGTTTTGAGATGGAATTTGGCCTTTTCGTCTTTGGGTACTGAAGAATCAACTTCCTTTCCTTTTGTAAAAACAATGTTTCCCAGATGAAGGATTGCAGCAACAACTCTAAAAATAGCTTCCTAAAAAGAGAGTGTGTGAGAAGAAAAATGGACTTATGGTAGTATCTCAACAAGATCTTTGAACATCCATACCTGCTCCTTTGCACTTATTCCAACAATATCCATTGCTCTTCTCGTGGCAAGGTAGTCATGGGCATCACTTACACCAACTAGTTCAAAGCATTTTGACTGGTTAAGATAGTGAAATGTTTTAGGATGGTCTAGCTTGTATTTCTCGATCTCCTGCAATCAATAACAAGTTTTTAGTAATAAGGAAAACAAGAACCCACCAATGATCATATAGTCCATTTCATTCTAGTATGTACAAAGGGATGTGTACCTCCTGTGGTGCGGCACAAAGAAGGTAAAAGCAATGATAGTTGCGTTCAGGATCATTTACTTGGCACACACGAGATCTCTCCAACAGGTAAGTCCGAATAGCAGCCCCCGATATTCTTCCATGTTTATCAAACTGAATCTCGACAAATTTACCAAAGCGACTGCACATAATTTTTTACCACTACTTTTAAGCGTTAAACCATCACAACCATTGATATGACACTTTTAATTATGGATACACAAAATTATCATTTTATGTTGAGCATTCAAGAAATTAAACTATAATATGCAACAGTATGTCTCTCACCTAGAATTATTGTTTCTGACAGTTTTAGCATTTCCAAATGCTTCAAGGACTGGATTGGACTACAGTCAAAAGATAATGTCAATAAAAGAAGATAGGTAGAGTTGTGCACTTGATGAAATTATATAACAAGGCAATAAGTTTTACAAGCATACTTCAAGAACTTGTTGTTCAACTGTTCTTCCTTCAGTGGCAGCACGACCACCTAAATAAGCAAGATATCTCATAAGCATTTTCGTCGTCTCAGTTTTACCTGCACCACTTTCACCACTAACCAAAATAGAATTGCTTTTTCCTTCATTGACCATTGCCCTATTATCCACAATAAAATTCATAGTTAATATTTTGGTAGGTTATAACAACAAAGTACATAAATATATTAGATATTCACTCTAAGATTTAACCTGTAGGCGACATCAGCAACAGCAAAAACATGAGGGCTTAACTCCCCAAATGGCGCCCCTTTATATTGTTGCATCATATGACCATCATAGATATGAGGTAGTCTTTGGAATGGATTGATTGCAATAAGAATGTTTCCAGTGTATGTCTGCAATAGAGCAAATTTATATTCACATTGTTGGTTGCCGATGAATAAAGTATGATATCCTGAACTTAAGATTGCTTTCCTATCTTTCTAACTAGGATGATGCTAGTTACCTAATAATAGGAAAGTTTAATAAAAAAACTTACATAGATCTCATTTAGTTCGTATCTACTTTTCAAATTCTCCAGAACTCCAGGCTCATGCAAATATGACAGCTTTGTCATGTCATCAACTCCACCAGCAGGAGCTTCCATATCTTTAGGATATATTTTGGACAAGTTGAGGGTAACCTTGAATTTAAATAAGTACAAGAAAACTCTCAGTACAAGACAAAAAAGGTTCAAAACATATATCACCAACAACAAAATCAAAGTAATTGGGTCAAACAAGGTTAAAAACCCCATAAAGTATGATTAATGAACTACAATGGAACTAGAATAACAGTTGGGGGCAAGATAGACCTGTCATCCTACTAAGAAGAGTTAAAAAAACACAAGTGTGATTTTAAGCTATTTTGTTTCTTGTTTCAATTTGTGTTCTCATGAGAGAGATCAACAATAAGCTAAGCCTAGACTAATACATTTTGCACAAAGTTTTTAATGGAGGGAGCTTAAGCTGATTTTGTGTGGAGAATTTTCGAAATAACTCATACAATAATCTGCACAACTTACTTTCTTCCCATTGGAGCACTCGATCTCAGCATTTTGTCCTGTAATTTTGAGTACTTGGCCATCCAACCAAGCCTCATCCGGGTCCTCAACCCAGACATGAGAGCCCTCAATTATATTCACTGAAGTACCCTACAAAAACAAAAACCCAATATCGTCTTGTAAAAATGGATGAATCATAAACTATAGCATGCAACCATAAGATCAACTCTAAAAAACAATGAAGCATTGAGATCCTTTGTTAGACATAAATAATCTTTCATGGTTGATCATATCTTTCTAGCAATATATATTTTCAATTTTTCTTATATTATAAATAGTATCCCTTTCTAATTCACAAAATCCCTTCTCGATTCCATTTTCTGCATTTTACAAACGAATCTTGCAAAAAAATGCAAAACTTTTTCGCCATCTCTCTTAACATCTCACATGGTAATTTCCAAGAACACATTTAATGCATGTGAGAGTAGACACATAGACATAGACCACATCGTAACAACACATACCATTTTCACAGCAAAAGAAAATTTATGTTTGCTCCCTTCAAATCCAATGTTGAGTTGCAACAGCTTCCATTTTCCAAGCACCAAGGCCAGCGACAGCCTCCATCATAGAGGCATCATCATCAATATCAACAATTATCATGCGAAAAATGTTTGAAGAAAATAAAGAGATAAAATATGTGGATCAAGCATTTGGTTCAGGTGATGCCCAATTTACGAAACTAGAAAAATGAATCAATTTTTGCAGAGGGCAACAAATCCAAAGCAATGAAAATAAAACTGGAAGAAAAAATAAAAAAAATAAAGAATTGTGGGAGTTTGATTTTTGCAATGAAAGAAATGAAAAAAGGAAAGATTGGACGAGAGTGGTGGAGTGATGATTTTGTGAAGAGAGAGAGTGAAGACACTAGATGAACGATGAGTGTCTGATCTCCCCTCCAATTTCGCTTTTTCATCCCGTTGCTTTCGTGCTAATTCGTGGCTACTAACCAAGTCTCCCCTTTTCTCTTGTCGCTTCCCTTAGTCCTTAACAGAAAATCTCTTTGATCTTATGTTTCTCGAACTACTTCCATTTTGTTACGACCGCACTAGGCAACCATCCGGTTGAGAAAGGCCATCAAAAGGCTCATTCACAACCCAATAATCACACTTCAAATGTTAAAATGAAAACAATTATTATGTTTATATTTATTTTTTCACATAGATATATAAAAAGCATGCTAATATATTTATTTATTTATTTTTCATAAACATATCAAAAGTTAAGGGTCATAACAAACAATTAATTCAATCCAACCTAAAGAGTTAAGAATCCTTAACGTTCTTGAAAGTCAAGGTTGAGTTTTTTTTTTATGTCATTCTATGCACAGTAAATTTATATGAGACTTGTCACATGTGGCAGATGAGATGCCACCAACAAGGTGACAACATGGCAGGTGCACATGTGGCGTATATGGAAGACTAAAAGCATAGATATGCCTCTAGGATTCTTCAACTTTACGAGAGCTTTAGTGTTCACTTATTAGCCACTTTATGGGTGGCATTACGAGAGTGCATTATGGGGAGACTTAAAAGGTGTAGTAATGAGGGTCATTGATGCCTTGTATGAGAAGAGGCCTATATAAGGAGCCATCTCCCTAGTAAATCATTCCACATTTTTTTAGTAATACACATTAGAGAGTTCTCCCACTTCCCTTGTATTTCTCATCTTTCTTTTCTTGCTTGTGAGTTTGAGAGAAGGCTTCCTAGCATCTCTAACGAAATTGAGAGCTAGGGCCACATGATCGAGGGTATGGCCGTGACAAGTGGTATCAAAGCCTAGTTTGGCTTGGTGCCAGCAAAGAAGAAGCAAAGCCAAATAGAAGAGAAAGAGCCTCACCAAAAATTTCGGGATCAGAAGTTGATATTGGTGACAAACCACTTGGAAGATATGCCACGAAGAGCTCCAGGCCAAAGAACCAGTCTAGCACTCGTGATCCTTTGACGGCTCTAGAGAAGCGCGCCTTTGGAGTGGAGGTGAAGGTGGCCAAAGATGGCACCGCCATAAGGGGTTTGGGAACTAACTTCAACCAAATCCAAGGCGATGTTCAAGGCATGGTGGCTCGGTTGACGAGCTTGGAGATCAACAATGATGGGCTGCGAGATGAGCTAGTGGCCCTCATCAAAAACACTATCTCCAACTCCATGAACCACGCCATCGAAGTTGTGAAGGAGATGGTTCAGGCTGAGCTAGCCGTTCTAAAGGAGGAGATTGCAGACCTCAAAAGTGAGTTCACTCTCGTGAAGAGAGACATGGCTATCGGGAAAGCTCCGGTGCAATCCTTCCCAAGAGCTGACATTCCCAGACTGAAAACCTACTGAGGTTCAAGGAACGCGAGGGATTTAAAGAACTTCCTTTGGAGTCTTGTGCAATACTTCAAGGCATCCGACATCCAAGAGGATTAGGTAAAACATCATACCGCTCCACTTTACTTGGTTGATATTGCTACAGTTTGGTGGAGGTGACTTGAAGCAGACGCCGAGAAGGGTACATGTGTGATGGCAACATGAGATGATTTCAAGAGAGAAATCAAGAAGCATTTCTATCCGGAGAACATGGAGTTTGAAGCCCGTTTGAGTTGAGGAGGCTCACCTAGAGGGGTGGAGTTAGATAATACGTGAAGGAATTCTCGGAGCTACTTCTAGAGATCTCTGACATCACGAACAAGGTGTCCATGCATGGATTTCTTGATGGGGTGCAACCGTGGGCAAGGATGGAGATGCAAATGCGAGGGGTGCAAGACATTGCAACTACCATGACCACAACGAAATATTTGACAAGAGGGACGATAGCAACAAAGAGAAGAGTTCAAAACCAAAATGTGGAGAACAACAACAACCTTTCAAGGAGGGCACTCGCACTCAACAACATGGTGGCCAAGAAAAAATCCGTTACTTGTTTCCTTTGCGATGGACCACATAAATTGCGAGATTTCCCAAGGAAGGCAAGATTGGCGGCCATGGAGGCTCAAGATGAGGAGTCCAAGGTGGCGGTGGCCAAGATTGGCTGTATCCGCAACTTTGCGCGGTCAAGACCGACGCCAAGGAGAGAAAGCACGAGAGATGCTATGTTCTGGCCCAATTCATTCAAGGCGAGGAAAAGGACTTAGTGGATACCAAAGCCACGAAACATCCTTCGCACTGAGGAGGCAAACTGACTGGGTGTTGCCTACAAGAAGGGGCAAGGGTGGCTCAAGCCGATCAATTTGGAGTCCATCCCAATCCATGAAGTTGCTCACAACGTGCCAGTGAAGCTCAGAGAATAGGAAGGCATCATGAACTTCTCTGTCGTCACCATGGATGGTCAGCCAGTCATCCCATCAACTTCCTTCAACAAAGAGGGTGTGGTCATGAAGCCTAATTCCAACACGATGTGCTTGGAGAAGGGAGGGAAGTTCCATGCGGTCCAAATCTTGAGAGAGGATGGACCCCATAGCACTTTGTCTGCAATGCAGGTTTCGAAGGAGTTCAAACGAAAGGAGCCAACATTTCTTGTGTTCTTGAAGATGGAAGAAGAATGAGGCTCGATGGAAACTTCAACTCCCATTATGGAAGTTTTTCTTGAAGAATTCAACGATTTGATGTCAAAGGAGTTTCCAAAGAAGCTTCCACCAAGAAGAAAGGTGGACCACAAGATTGATTTGGATCCGGGAGACAAGCCCCCTTCTAGAGCACCCTATTGAATTTCCCTATTAGAGCTAGAGGAATTGCGGAGGCAGCTCAAAGACTTGTTGGACGCAGGCTACATGCGGCCATCGAAGTCCCCTTTTGGAGCAATGGTGTTGTTCTAGAAGAAGGAGGAGGAGGGTCATTGGGAATGTACATCGACTATAGAGTCATCAACAAGCTGACAGTGAAGAACAAGTGGCCCATTCCCAATATTGCGGACTTGTTCGACCAGTTTGGAGATGCAACATAGTTTACCAAGCTTGATCTTCACTCGGGCAAGTATCAAGTGAGGATAGCATCGGGAGACGATCCTAAGATGGCTTGTGTGACGAGTTATGGCTCTTACGAGTTTCTTGTGATGCCATTCGGTTTAACCAATGCACCAGCCACATTTTGCACCTTGATGAATCAAGTGTTCGAGCCATTATTGGACCGATTTTTCATGGTGTACTTGGATGACGTCGTAGTGTATAGCAAAACACTCAATGAGCATGCCAAACACTTATGCGAAGTCTTCAAAGTCCTTCGCGACAACGAGTTGTATGTCAAGAGGGAGAAGTGCACTTTTACCGCCATAGAGGTTTCATTCTTGCGGCACATCATAGGTGGAGGCAAGTTGAAGATAGATAGGGCAAAGGTAGATGAAATCCAAGAATGGGGGCCACTGACAATGGTGCTAGAGTTGCAGTCATCCCTCGACATTGTCGACTATTATCGGAGGTTTATCAAGGGGTATTCCAACATTGCAACACCCTTGACAGATCTCTTAAAGAAGAAGAATGCTTGGGAGTGGTCAGATCGATGCCAAGAAGCATTCGAGGCCTTGAAGGAAGAAGTGATGAAGGAGCCCATACTCGTGCTCCCCAATCCGACACTGGCCTATGAATTGTAGACCGATGCATCCGACATCGCTATTGGCGGTGTTTTGATGCATGATGGGAATCCCATTTCCTTCAAGATTCGAAAGCTCAATGAGACGGAGGGGCAATACATAGTACAAGAGAAGGAGATGACTGTCATGGTGCATTGTTTGTGCACATGGAGGTAATACTGGTTGGGGTCAAAATTTATAGTGAAGATGGACAACATGGCAATGAGCTACTTCCTTATGGAGAAGAAGCTCATCCCCAAATAAGCGAGGTGAAAAGACTTTTTGGCTGAGTTCAACTTCGTGATGGAGTACAATCCCAGGAAGGCGAACTTTGTTACAGATGCTCTTAGTTGCAAGAGTGTAGCCTGAAGCATCAACCAGCATGTGCTTCCTTTGAAGGAACATATCATTGAAGGTATCCGAGTGAGTTTTCACTATCCAATTTTTACAGTGCGCTGGGCGACACACGTGCTACAATGGCCGGGACAAAGGGTCGCGATCCCGTGGGCCATGACACATTCACCAAAACCGTGGAGAGTACATCGAATAAGGGAAGACTCGATGGTTTTGGATGAAGGATGGGCTCATCATGACCAAGGGAGAGCACATGTTCATGCCAAGATGGGCCAACTTGAGGAAGGAGATCATGAAGGAGTGCCATGATAACAAGTGGGTCGATCATCAACACAACTAGAGAACGCAAGCGTTCATCGAGAAAGCATACTATTGGCCACAAATGAGAGATGACATGAAGATGTATGTGAAGACTTGTCTTGAGTGCCAACAAGACAAGATGGAGCACATAAGCCCGACAGGCTTGCTAGAGCCTTTGCCCACACCTCAATGACCCTGAGAGAGTGTAAGTATGGACTTCATCGTCGGACTTCCCAAAGTGGACAAATGTGGTTGCATTATGGTTGTGGTGGACAGGTTCTCGAAGTATGGAGTGTTCATCCCTAGGCCAAAAGATATGAAGGCCGAAGATGATGCTCGCCTATTCTTCAAGAACGTGGTCCAACATCCTATAAGTTTGCAAAAGGTTGGCACGAGAAGATGACCATCACCAAGTCTTACTTAGCTCGCGCCAGTAAGAAGATGAAGAACTGGGCGGACAAGAAGATGCGACATTTGGAGTTTAAAGAGGGAGACATGGTGATAGTGAAGTTCTACCATAATCGCTTCAAGCATCTCAAGAACGTGCACAAGAGACTTCTTCGCTGATATAAAGGGTCATTCCCCATTGTGACAAGGATTGGCAAGATGGCCGACAAGGTAGAGGCACTGTCGCATTTGGAGATCCTTTTGGTGTTTCATGTGAGCCAACTCATGGCTTTCAACGAAGACAAGCAGGACAAGAGGCGGACATAGTCACATCGTGAACCAACACTCGTCACCAAGATACATGAGCGTGAAGTTGAAGAAATCATGGCCCATCGTGTCATTCCTCGTCGAGGCCTACATCAGAGTTATGCAGAATACTTTGTCAAGTGGCGCAACCTTCCAAAGAGCGCGGGAAGTTGGGAGAATGAAGTCACACTTTGGAAGAACAAGGGCTTGATTGAGGCTTTCCATAAAGA